GGCTGGATTCGAACCCGCCACCTTAGGTGTATGTGGATGGCACCTTAGCCACTTGAGCCACAGGCACTGAGCCACTCTGCTCATTCTCTAATATAAAATAAACTTATACTTTTATATCCTAATCTTGGCCTAGATAAATTCTTTTCTCGTCCCACAAGCAGCACCTACTGAGCAACTAAGCATTTTCAAAACCTGTCACTCTCCTAATCCTAAAACAGGGCATTAGGGTGGTGGGTGTCATTTCAGTCTGGACAGAGCTCACCAGCCAGGCTGAAGGCATAGAGTTGGGCAGCATCCCCTACCTGCCCTTTTAGTGCCCTTGTCCCAGTGGGAGGCATGGGGAGCAGGGTCCATTGGTTGGCCTGCACCAGCACACAGTGCTATACAGCTGTGTCCTGGGCAAGGGGCCACTCAAAGGAACAGGGATGACTGAATAAATGTCCCCAGATGAGAAAGCCTGCAAAGGGTTAAGGGGGAAAGAGAGGCTGTATGAGGAGACAAGACATGGGGAGGGTGAAGAGGGGGCTTGCCACCATACCATCACTGTTAGAAGTGTGCCGCTGCAACAACGCTGTGGAGACACAACTAACCCCCATCTGGGAGCGAAGGCAGCCCATTCCTGCTAGCTCCTTCCACCAGGCTGGGCTTGTTCCCTACCTCCCATCTTTGTTGGGTTTGTTTATTAATTTACTCATTTATTTTTTTGAGACAGAGTCTCAAGCTGTTACCCTGGGTAGAGTGCCCTGGTGTCATAGCTCACAGCAACCTCCAACTTGGGCTCAAGCAATCCTCTTGCCTCAGTTTTTCTATTTTTAGTAGAGATGGGGGTCTCGCTTTCGCTCAGGCTGGTCTCGAACTCATGAGCTCAAGTAATCCATCCACCTCAGCCTCCCAGAGTGCTAGGATTACAGGCGTGAGCCACTGAACCCAGCCTCTGTTTGGTTTTTTTAAATCACAAATGCATAATACACATTTCAGAGCACAGTGTCCCTAGGAATGCTACACACACACAGACATGTATTTGCCAGGAGTGGCTGCCCCTAAGGATGACAGAGCCAAAGGAATCAATGGGAAGACAGCGTCCTCTCTCCCCAGCTGCCCTAGCCATTCTGCCCCCAGGGCCTGAGGTCCTCCAACATCACAGCAGTGACTCTGACACTATAAACCAGTCCAGAATCAAGGGCCTTTCCAATATGACCTTTACCCACCCATCTAGCCCTCAGGATAGTTCTCGGGTTGTGGAGTCTGATGGCCCCAGATTCAAATCCTACTCTATCACTTAGTGCCTTTGCCAACCTGGTTATCCTCATAAACCTCAGTTTCCTTAAGTATAAAATAGAATAAAAACAGTGGCCCTTCCTTTCAAGGTTGTTTTGAAGAGTGAATGGTATGCAGGTCTATAGATAAAGCCAGTGCCCAGCACATAGCTGACCTACAAGCTGTTAATGTTATAGCTGTCTCTCATCAGTCCCAGGGTAGGCAAGCCTGACCTCTGTACACTTAATCCCCACCTCTGTTCCTTTCCATCTTCTGTTATGTCTCAGCCTCCCTGACTATGCTTGGGTCTCACTGAGGCCAGGACTCAGGGTTTACTTGTCTTTGGTAGTTCCTTGCGATAAAGCACCAGAAATTCTTCCATTAATGTCTGCCTAAATTGGGCATGGTGGCTGATGTCTGTAATCTGACAGACACTTTGGGAGGCTAAGGCAGAAAGATTCCTTGAGGCCAGAAGTTTGAGACTAGCCTGTTTCTAAACAATTGTTTTTAATTAGCTGGGCATGGTAATGCATACCTGTAGTCCCAAGAGGATACTTAGAAGGCTGAGGCAGGAGGATCACTTGAATCTAGGAGTTTGAGGCTGCAGTGAGCTATGATTGTGCCACTGAAGTCTAGCATCAGTGACAGGGCAAGATTTCATATCTTAAACACAGCTACAAAAAAGCAGGCTGGAGTGGTGGTTCGTGCTTATAATCTTAGCACTTTAGGAGGTAGAGGTGGGAGCATTACTTGAGCCCAGGAATTTGATGTTGCACTAAGCTGTGATGACACCACTGCATTTTAGTTTGGGCAGCAGAGTGAGACCCTGTCTCTCCTAAAAATAGAAGTAGCCAGGTGTTATGGCAGGTGCCTGGGGCCTAGCTACTTGAGAGGCTGAGGCAAGAGGATTGCTTGAGCCCAAGATTTTGAGGTTGCTGCGAGCTATGATGATGCCACGGCACTCTACCCAGGGCGACAGAGTGAGATTCTGTCTCTAAATAAATACATAAGAAAAATTTTAAAAATCCATTGTATTTGTAGTCTGCATATTCATAACTGCACATGAATGAGGTTCAGAGTTGCCAGGGAAATAAGTACCTTTCCAGAAAGCCACCAGGAGGCCCAGCTTGGTCTTCCTAGTACCTGGGATCATGTTCCTGACACACACACTCCCCCCCACACACAGATCGACTAGCCCCCTGCCCCTCCCTGTGGGAGGAGTGGTGCTCACCCCACTCCTTCCTTCCCCAAACAAGTTCCATAGAGCTCCTTTTCCTTTCCTGTTTTTCCACAGTTGGAAAGTTCTGGATGTGGAATATGTTTTGTGGTAAATTCTAGGCTTGTCCCGACAGGCTCATGCACATACAAAATGGAAAGTAATGAGAGGCTCCCAAACTACTCCCATCACAACTGGGAAAGTGATACAGAGTCTGGGGGGACCATTCAGAGGCGGTTTTTGAACTATAAATTGTACTTGGGGCTTACAAGGACTTTGAAGGCTGACAAGGTCTGGATCCTGCTAGCCAAAGGGTTGCCTTCCAACAGGTGAAGGGTAACAGATAGTCCTTCCTTCCGGACTCCTAATGAGTCTCAGAGAAGGTACACCCTGGGTTCTTTGTTTTGACTTTTCCTGGCTGGGGGCCAGGAAGGCAGGGCCTCTCCATGGGGCCTCTGACATCCCTGCTTGCAGGTAAAGTAGGTGGTAGGATCTCCCAAGCTGGATTCACCTTACACCAAAAGGAAAAAAGATTAGAAGTGCAAAGAGGGAATAGAGACTTGGAGGAGGTTTGGGGGTCCAGGGGCTCCTGAAGAGGAAGGAGTAAATTTGTAAGGGTGACATTGGGTGCTGGGAATGTCCACAGCAGCGTGTTTCTTGGCAAGGTCCCAAGCTTGTTTTATTTCCTCTGTCAAAAATGGGGCTTTCTCTGTAAATATTCTGAGATGGCAGCTCCAGCTGTGTCTGATGTGCACTCTGAAGGGCTGCTGGCCCAGGCTGCAATTTGCTTTTGCTCTAATTCTCTGTCCAGTTTCTTGTTTTGAGCCAGGTCAGGCAAACTTTCCAAATTCTCCCTCCTACAGGTATGTGACTTCATCAATGCTGAGCCTGGGCCCATATGGCTCAGGGCAGGAGCCAGAGAAGAGAGGTCCCTGCTGGGTTTCTTCATGATTACCTTGGGGGCCCAGCATCTGCCAGTGGATGAGGTAGACACCGCCTTCTGGCTTTGGGGATGGGGGCTCTGTAAGGAGAGTGGCATGTCCCTGGTGCAGCCTTGGCCCCAAGTGGACTGCCACCACAATGCAGACTGCCAGCAGGACAAAGGCAGTGACGATGATAGTGAGCGGAGGAAGCCCATCCCCTGCAGGG